CAGCTATGGCTGATCCTCAGCCCTGCCCTAAGAGGCCCCGAGTCTCTGTCCCACGGTAATCACTGCAAGTACCTCTGAGAGAAAGCCACCCTCGAGTTCCGACCAATGCCAGACAGTTCAGTTTCTCCCCGTATGAGTCTGGGTCCCCAGAGACTCGCCCGGAACTGGAGTTCAGAGCTGTCGGGAGCTTGTGTCTCCCTCCCGATTCAAAAAGACAGCCGCATCCTCAGTTGCCAGCCCTTTCCGTGTGCGCCTCCGTACCTCTGCACTTTACTTCTGCACCTCCTCTGAGTCTCAGTGTGCTTTTCTCTTTCCTTCTAGTTGTAGAATTTCCACTCAGCCAGCCTTCCTGTGGTTCTGGATGATGTCCGTTTTGTCTTTTAGTTGTATTTTTGAAGTGGTTGTGCGAGGCAGCAATCTCTGGTGTTTACCTATGCCGCCATCTTGGTTTTCTCTCCACCCTCATCTCTCTTGCAGGGCTGTGCCAGGCCTGAAACTCAAGATCGCTGGGAAATCTCTACCCACAGAGAAGTTTGCCATCCGGAAGTCCAGGCGCTACCTTGCTCCCACACCCATCTCATTGCCAATCCCTGCTCTGGTGGGTAGGAGGATCTTTTGGGATTGCATTTGTTTGGGATTATAGGGATTAGTTGAGAGCCAGGGGTACAACCACAGGCCCAGAGGAAGTGGATGAAGGAGAAAGACCTTCATGCCTCAGGGGCCTGGAAAGGATTTCACAATTCACCTGGGATAGGGGACAGAGGAGTTTGATCAAGCCCTGCCTCTGAGGAAGTGCTGGTGGCTGGGGGGTGGGGCGACAAGTGAGCAGCTCTCACAGACAGCCCACACCCTGTCCCCAGGCAGAGGCTGTTTGTGCTCATACCCTGCTTGTTTCAGTCTTGTCACGTGATTGTTGTTTACACTGTTCCCCATCACTGGACTGAGCTTTTCTGAGCCCTGAGCCCTGGGATTGTGTTAGTCAGCTCTGAAATAATAATAGCTGACATTGTTATTAATAGCTGTGTTCAAGGTTCACACCCATGGCCCATGGCCTCATTTGAGCCTCACAATAACCCTCTGAGTAGGTGCTGGTGGTATTCCCATTTTACAGATGGGGATACTAAGTCCTAATAGATAATAAAAGTAGAAAGATATCTAATAAGTAGACAAGATATAAGTAGAAAGATAAAATAACTTGTCCAGGTTGCACAGCTAGTGAGTTAGAGTCAGGATTTGAACCCAAATAGTCTGGTTTCTGAGCCCATGTTCTGAATCATTATGATGCTAATTCCATGCATGATTTTAGCAGGCATCAGAGAAGTAGAAAAAGTCCTCAGAGACCTTTTATTGGTCCTGGATCTACTATTCACTAATGTGTGACCTTGGGTAGGGTCCCCCTTCCTTAATATAAAATGGGGTAGCATATACTTTGCCCATTTCATAGAACAGTTATGAGAATCAGCTGATAAAATGTTACTTTATAAATCAAAGCATTCGATATTTATAGAATGTATTTAGAACTTGTATCCTGACTATCTCTATTTAGAAATATTTTATAAAGTAAAACTATTGTCATCAAATTGGGAGGGGAGGGGTGTTGTAAGGAAGGGTTGGGGAAGCACCTATATCAAAAATTTAGGAGAGAATTTCCCAAATTATAATATGGAAAATACCATTTATGCATAAAATGATTTCTGAAATATATTAGGTAAGACTGTTCTAAACAAAGTGTATATAATGTAGACCTCGGCGCTTTTATATACCAATCAGCAGGGTAAGTCTCAAGAAGCTTGAATACGTTTTTTCCTAACTCATTTGGCCCTGGATTTTTTTTTTTAATGGAACATTTGCTAACTTGGGACCATATTATGATCTTCAGAAACACTGGTCTAAACTTAAATTTCCTCCCTAGAACATAACAAGAACCATAAGAGTAATGTCTTTCTAGAACTTTATATATACAAATCACTTTCACATCTATTGGTTTGATAGTTTAGAAAATGCTAACCTAAGCAACAAAATTACTATGAATGAACATGTTAGTATTCTGAGCTTCCTAGAAGTCAAGGCAGAAAAAGGAAATCGGGGTGTTTCATAGTTTTCGTGATGGTAACTCAAGCCCAACGCCTTGTGGGGGGAACAGGAGAGGTGACAGTCTTAAACTCTTGGAAATACTGAAGTGCTGAGGTAAATTATTTCTCCAATATTTAGAAGCTTAGAGGGGCCTTTAGTGATCCTCTGATCTGAGCTGCCCATTTTACAGATGGGGAAACTGAGACCCCATTGAAGAAACCTAGGACTGACTTGCTCCCCTACCTTCAGGAAATGATGTACATTTGGAATGGCTACGCTGTGATTGGGAAGCAGCCCGAACTCACAGATGGGATACTTGAGATTATCACCAAGGCTGAAGAAATGCTGGAAAAGGGCCCAGGTGACTACCCCAGGCCCTTGAATCTGCCAGGCTGGGTCAGACCACAGGACTTGCAGTTGAAATTTTCCTCTACCAAAAATGTCCGTCCTCCTTTCTCTACCCTGGTAACTGACCTTTGCCTTTCTTTTTAAAAAAATATGTTTTATTGATTTTTTACAGAGAGGAAGGGAGAGGGATAGAGAGTTAGAAACATCGATGAGAGAGAAACATTGATCAGCTGCCTCCTGCACACCCCTTATTGGGGATCTGCCTTTCTAGACTGAGCTTCAACAAGAGCTCCTCCAAGCTGTCTCTTGTCCCCCAGGTTGAGTTAAGGCCTCCGATGGGCTCCCACAGCCCCTGGGCCTCCATCAAGCAGCCTTGATTCCACTGTATTGTCCTCGTCTCAGTATGTCTTTCCTTCCCAGATGTGAGCTCCCTGAGGATAGGGACCATGTGTGAGTCACCTCTGTGTCCTCAGGGCCCAGCACAGAGTAGGGACTCCATGAGTGGCTGTTGCAGAAATGAACAAGCCTGTTTTCTCCTCTCACTGCCCTGTTCTCAGAAAATGAGTACTCAGTGGATGATGAGTGCTTGGTGAAGCTGCTGAAAGGCCTGTGTCTGAAATACCTGGGCCGTGTCCAGGAGGCTGAGGAGAATTTCAGGAGCATCTCTGCCAAGTAAGTGCCTCTGTGGCTGCTCCCAATCCAGATGGCTACTGTGGCCTGGTTCTCCTGGGTAGAATTTTCAGGACTGCCTCCCCCTAGGCACTACATGTATACTAGTGTCTGCTCTGTGCCAGGGCCTAGCAAGGCACAGATCATTCAGACCTCATCTGGCAGGGCTGCCAGACTGCTCAACTACAGGAGCCTATCCACACTGAGTTTTGTGTTAATGGTGCCCCTGGAGTTTGTAATTCACCAACCCTGCCCTTGCTCTTGTGGATTACAAATGTTACAGATCAACAGCTACAGGCAACTCAATCTGATATGATCCGGGCTCTGGCACAGGGAAGCGGAAAAGACAGCAGGTGTCCTGAGGAGGGACCTACACATAATTCAAGATACCAGGAAAGGTTTTCCAAGGATGCCAGTTAAATTGTGAAGTTTATGGGCAGAGAAAGCAATGAAGGAGGAGTTTTAAGTGGAGTAGGGACAGCATGTGCAAATGCTTGGCACAGATATGCCTGAGGTTGGAGGGACAGTGATTAGGCTTTTCCTGCCTGGGTGAAATTATAGAGGGAAAGGGTTGCAGATGAAATAAGGGGAGGGGGGCGCACCTAGACTGCAAAGGGCCTGGCTGTTTTGCTTACAAGACTGAACTTTATCCTGTAGACAGAAGAGAGTGAGGAAGGATACCAAGCAGGGCAGATCTGGGTTCTAAAAGGATAGTTCTGGGATAGCATGGTGGGTAGGTTAGAGGGGCCAGATTGAAGACAGGACACTTCCCAATATAATAATTCAACCAGGAAAAAGAGGGTTGGGGACTGAGGTGGAAGTGGCCAAGGATATGACATGAGCCATAGGTTGTTAGGGAGTTGGGTCCCAGGTGCAGAGGTCTAGAAGGCTCTATCTACTGTGGATCCTAAACCTTCCTAGGGCTAGGTAGTGGGAACCTTCCCAAATTAGAATTCAGAGCTGGAAACCCCACTTGAGGGCATGCGTTGGATCCTCCCATTTGGGGAAGGCCTGCGAGAAGCCTGAAGGACATTTCAAGGGCGAGCCTATAAGCCATGTCCTCTTCTTTCCCACAGCGAAAAGAAGATTAAATATGACCACTACTTGATCCCAAATGCCCTGCTGGAGCTGGCTCTGCTGTTTATGGAGCAAGGCAGAAACGAAGAGGCTGTCAAACTCTTGGAAACTGCCAAGTAAGGCTTGATTAGCCCTGGCTGGGGGCAGAGCCCAGGCATCAGTGAGGGAGGGTGCTGGCAAGTGCAGTAAGGCAGTCCAGACAGAGCCTGGGCCCTCGTCCCCAGGAGCCCAGCTCTCACCTAGGGTGGGAAGGCTTCCTTCTCAATTCACCAATGAAGAATTAGAATCCCAGAAGCAGTAAGTGAGTTGCCCAGGATCACACTCAAGTCAGCCACAGGGCTGTGTGAAGACCCTGGTCCCCTACGTTCCAGCCCATAGATCTACCTCTTGACACCTCAAGTCTAGGGACTGATCAGGACCAAGAGAGTTCCAGAGGGCATGATGTCTGGGTGAGGGGCTACACAGCCTTTCTGCTAATCCCTATTGGCAGACCACCCAACTTTCTCTAGACAGAGACAGGGATTTAGACCTCTACAATTCTTCGTTGGCTGGTGGGCTCCCACAGCTCAGACAGAAGAAAAAGCACTTTCTACAGCAGCCTCATGTGTCTGATTCTCTGGTCTCTTCCAGGCAAAACTACAAGAATTACTCCATGGAGTCAAGGACACATTTTCGAATCCAGGCAGCCACACTCCAAGCCAAGTCTTCTCTAGAGAATGTAAGCAGAGCTGTGGTCTCATCAGTGTCCCTGTAGTTTGGCACAGCACTCCCAAGCTGGCAGACAGACAGCTGGACAGAGCTCCTGGAAACATTTAAAAACTGATCCCCACCCGCTGCCCTGCCTTTGGGGTCCACCGGTGCTCCAGTGGGATGGCACGACATGAGTATCCGTGAAGAAGCCAAGCCTACATTTTCACCTGTGTGGCCAAGGTCCTTTGCCAAGGACAGAGCAGGTGGAGCCCTCCGCCTGCCCTATCACATATACGGGTACTTGTTTTTCACTGTGATGTTTAAGAGAATGTATGAACAGTTTACATTTTACTTAGAAATACAATGATGGGATCATAGTTGGCTTTTCAAAAAACCACCAACCAACCACCTGTAACCTTTGCTTTAACCCATACTGATCGGGAGGTAAATCTGTATGCTGCCAAAGGCCAAACTGCTTTTCAAATGTCAGCACGGTCTCAGCTCCCAGGGCTGGAAGGACCCTCAGGATGGTCTGCACCTCAGGCTTCAAGGCTTCTGGGGTTGCACAGAGACACTCACTATCTTTCTTCTTACACTTTGTTTTAACTCCCTTTGTATCTGTCCAAATTTTAAAAAGCAAACATGTCTATTTAGTGAGAGAACTTTCATTGGGATCCATCTGTAGGAAATCAGTCTCCACTAGTAAGGAATGGGGATGCCGAGGCCTGACAGAAGGGGACCTGTGTGGCTCTTTCTGTGCCATGAAGTTGCGGAAAAAGGGGGGGGGGGGGGGGGGGGGTGCCGTCAGATTGAAACCATTGGGAATTATTTAAAAAATCTTCTGTACTTCATTCTGAGGTACATTTATTTACTGACAGCATTTTTCTTAGAAATAGGATGGTAATTCTTGGCATATTTTATATGTTTTAATTTTTTTTCAGTTAAGAGAAAAGAGATATTTAAGTAATAAAACTTATACTTAAAAGAGAACATGCAACATCTACTAGTATTTCAGTAAAATATGTGTTGCTTGAATTCTTAGGCAGGGCAGAAAGTTTGGATCAGAAACCATATGACCCAGGTATGTTTTATTTGAACAACATGATATTTAAAAAAATTTTAGAATAAGTTAACAACATTTAAAAATGGGGAGATTTCAAATAAGTCTGGTTTCTGACTTCTAATTTAAAAAAAAAATCTGGCAACATGGGGCCTCATTACCATAAGGCAATAAGGCAACAATCAGTTGGAGCTGAGTAGAGGCTACTTTAAATACTTATCTTTCTGGTCTCTAAAAGCACCTGCATTTGCAACTTCTGGGATGGTTAAAATGAGAACTCAAGTTCAGTAACCAACACCAAATTTTACCATTCACAATCTCATGACAGCATACTTCAATTTAACCATTTCCCTAGAAAAATCATGGACACAGTAAAAATAGTCATCTATGAACATGTGACTCCTCAAATACATGAATGCAATTTCTTTTAAGGGAAGGACCGTAGACAACTTTCCCAGTCTTCCAGCACTGCGGTATTTAGCAAACACTTTTGAGCATCTGTCAGAGGCTGGGTGGGTTAATCTATTAATGTACAGTCAACCAGCTTCCTATGACTGACACTGAATGAAGCAATGGGTTATAGGCATTTTCTCATTAGGGAAAGAAGAGCAGAAAACCCTCATTCAAGCTCCTCCTTTGCACTTAGTACTGTCACAGCAGAAATGCTACGAAGTTTTTTTTTCTCATTTTGTTAGAACTAGACAAAAGAATGCTCTCCATAGAGCAGCCCTTTGCAAGCTCTATCTCCTCCAAAGCCTGGGTGCTGGGAGACCAGTTTGTTTCTAGGTGACTGGGCATGGCAGGGTCAGAGGTGACTAGAGCCAGGCTGCTGAGAGGATAGCATTTAGTGGCTTCCCCACATATTAGAAGAACTCTACCTGCTGCTGTATAAAAGCAGTACTGGCCATAGATACAAAATATAATTTGCAAAATAGTTTATAAAAAGCTTTATTTCAACCTTTATTTTAGGTGCTTCTGCTTGTATTTTAAAGTTTAGTCAGACAGTTTCCTTGTCAGTGTTTGTTGGTGTTTTCTTGCTGGGCTTCATTAATTAGCCTACGTCACCTTTACCTCTGTCTGCTGCCTTGGCTGCAGTCTGGCTGATAAGAGAAATCAGTGGATTTTGTCTCCTTTATCCCAGCTGCAGCTTGAGATAGTCTGTGAAAACATGTATGTGGAGGAGAGTGGAGGGTGACCATATTGGGTGTCTGACACCATGTCCTGTGCAGAGGCCTTTGAAGGTGAAAATTCCATTATGGGCTTCTCACTGTGTCTCTTTGAGCCATTTCTGGTTACTTCTCTTAAAGACTTTTCCAGCACATCTGCCCTGGATAGGCAGCTGGTCAGGTGGAGACTTTTGGCCTAAAAATAAGGAGACTTGAATTGTTGTCCCTGCTTTGCTACTGACTGATTTTCAGAGTAACCTTAGGGAAATCACAAACCCTCTAAAAACTAGTAATTTGGACTAGATTACTCTCTTTCCTGCTGTCAACAGTTCGAATTCTAACTCTGGTCAAGTCTGTTGGTGGGTTTTCATCTCCAAAACGAGGCAACAGATACATAACTCTACTTTTTGCCAAAACTTAACCAGAAATGATAGGTTTCCTCAATCAGGGGCCCCGACAGTAGCCCAGGATACCCAGAGAGCAAATAATCCTCATTTGGGGCAAGTCTGCATTCTGTGCCACACAGAGGAACTCGGTTGTTAGGAAGTAGCAACTGTGTAACATGACCTGAACAGGCCCTTGACAACGGAAAGTCTACCTCTGCCTCTCACTGATCACAGGCCCTTGGGCTGGCTGGCTGGCTTTCAGCAGTGTGCTACTCCCTATCAGTTCTCCCATGTGTTGGCAGGATTCCCTATTCCTTATCTTTCAAGTCAGAATGGAAGTGTTTCCAAGACCTCTATCGTCATTCATGCAAAAAGCCAGGACCTGACAGCAAAGACAGGACCCTAAAGGGCCAACACCAACCCAAGACTTGGCTGAGGTCCAGGTGGGCGATTCCCAGCAACTGAAGAACAGCACTAGGAGGTTTTAGAAAACTCTAGCCTGTGACTACAAAGGAATAAAATCCAGACACTTTTTTCTGGAGTTACTCCCAAGTTTATTTCTTCTAAAATGATGGGGAATAGACAACTTCTCATTTGTTTAAAAATTAAAGCTAACAGTGTGCCTTTTCAACAACTGTTTCCTTATGTCCTTAGCACCATCACACTAATGCAGTAATAAATGAGAGGTACCTGGATTCTGAAAAGCATGTAGCAAATGGGATCCTCACCCCAGTCCCCAGAGGTAGCTCTCCAACGCTAGAAAGTGTCTTTCTGCTTGGGTTAGCACAGCTCCTGGAAACCTGGTGCAAAGTTCACTACTGCCCAACAGGGTGAGTCCACAAACAAGGAGCCTCATTTGGGGGCTTGAAAAATTCACTTCTAAGTTAGAAATCTATGAATTGCCTCCACTGCACAAAGTCAACTGTCAAATGACAAAATGTAATACAGTCCTTCCTCTGGGAAGATATGCAATTACTAAAGGTCACTATGGACTTCTTAAAGTTGACATTCAAGTTTAATCAGACACGTCACAGCTAACACCTCACAAATGACTGGACTGGGTTGTCTTGTTTTTCTTCACATCATTAACAAACACCTCTGAACACCAGACACTATATGCTCTGGGTGGAAGAAAAATAGCTAATATCAAATACTCATTATTTACCAGTTGCTAGTTTAAGCACTTGACGTGGTTCTAATCCACATAACCACACTATGAAGTAGGGACTATTATTGCCATTTTACAGATGAGAAAACTGAAACAGGTTAAATAACTTGCCTAAGATCACCTGGTTACTTTGCAGCATAAAGATCTGAAGCCAGGCAGTTGAACTCTAAAGCCCACGCTATGCTAAACTGCTGGTTGAGCTTAAAATGATTACTTTAAAAGTTGGAACTGATTTATAGTCACTAGGCCACTCTTAAGGTACTGGCTAAATACTCAAAACACTAGAAACTCTTGGCTTGAAACACATAGCATATGTCTGTGTGGCAGTTTCCCCAGGCCACTAGGCTTCCTGAGGTAGGGATAGGGTCTAACTTCAATAAAGTCAAAAGGAAAAAAAGGCAACCCTTAAGCAACAGTATTTGCTCATAAAACAATCAAGGGCTATTGGAGGAAAAGGCTCTAATCCCCAGATGGATAGGTAGAGTCTGGTCAGCTACTCCAGAGACAAGAAGTGAGGCCTGAACAGATGTAGAGACAGGCCTGGACTGAGGCTTGAGGGGCAGCAAACCTTATACTAGAAGAGCTTTGGTATCCTACATAATAAAAGCCTAATATGCAAATTTTCCCCTTGGGCGGCTGTTTGACCCGAAGACCGACCGCTTGTTATGACGTGTGCTGACCACCAGGGGGCGGTGCAGAACATGGTGGGCGTCAGCTACATGGCGCTGGCAGTGGGGCGGCAGTGGAGGTGCTGCCGGCCCTCATGGGCTCCGACGAGAGCAGGACCGCGGCAGGATGGTGGAGCAGGTGAGCGGGCGGCACCAGGCCAGGGCAGGTGCAAGCAGGGGCCCGATTGCCCCGTTGATTGTCCCGCAAACGGCAACCAGCAGTGGTGGTGGAGAGCGCAGCTGCCGTCCGGCTCCCAGGCGCTGAGGGAGCCGAGTAGGGGGCCAAGGCCTGAACGATCACCCTGCAGGTGGAATGGTGGAGCAGGTGAGGGGGCGGCACCAGGCCAAGGCGGAGTGCCAGGTGGGGCTGCGGGGCTGGGGGCGTGAGCTGGGGCTGTGAGGCTGGGGGCGCAATCTGGGGCCTGAACTCCATAGGCCACCCTCAGGGACCCCACCCGTGCACGAATTTGTGCACCAGGCCTCTAGTAAGATAATAAGAAGTAGGAACATTTGAAAACTGGGATGTGTATGCTAAAGGCATTCAATTTTAAGTTTGGCAACATCATATCTGTGGGTCAAAGTGGTCATTGGGCCAGAAATGTCACCCCTGGACTACAGCTTTCAGATAACTATCTATGGAAAGAGGTTGTGAGCAAATTTACAGTTAGAGTAAAGCCTGATCTACTAAAAATACTAACTTTAGGTGGGAAATTTATTGGGCCACATATACTGTGGGAAGGCAGTGGTGGGTTTGGCCTAGAGCAGCGGTCACCAACCTTTCGGACCTTGTGGACCACCAGTGGTCTGTGGACCACCAGTTGGCGACCGCTGGCCTAAGGGATGACTGAATCAAGGGCTCTAGTGCTCTCCATCTCTTGACTTTGCTCCTATGTTAGATTTATTCTCTTGAACTGGCTTCTCTGCATGGGAGGGGTACGTGGCAGTTCAGACCTCACGTCCTTACTTACAGCTTTGTGACCAGAAGAAGCTAGCTTCTTTTCCTACCTCCAGTATGAAAAATCCCAGATAAGAACTCAGATTAGTCTAGCTTGATTAAATGTCCATCCCTTAGACCAGTTTCCCCAGATCAACATCAGATCACCAGGGGATTAGAAGGGTGAGGCCAGGTAATCTACATTTTAACAAGCCCTCCAGGTGGATCTGATGCACACTAAAGTTTGAGAATCACACTGCCTTAGAAAGGGGGTGAGGTACTACAATTGGTACAACTGGGTCATATGCCAGTTGGAGGTTTTTACTACAAAAAAGATGGGGTACTGGGCAAACAAAAACAACATGTATCCACTATATGACCTTTTTTTCAAAGTTCATATACAGAAACTTTCCTAGGTGAAGGGAAGAATGAGGACAGTGGGTACAGTCTGTGGTACTGGTTAGTGACAAAACTTATCAGAAGGTTGCCTTTGCCCTTCTTTATAAGATCCCTATTTTCCATTGGGAACTTCCTTGATGATGGCTCCCTCTCAATCAGAAATGTTCAGGTTCCTTAGGGCTCTCTTCTGCCCTATTTTCTCCTCCCCTTCACCCAAATATCTTGATATCATAGAGCTTAGTCTGCTAAGGAAGACATACTAGTAGGAGTATATAAAAAGGGGATGTGTTTGGTCCGGAGAATAAGCCAGTCATTGAAACAACTAAAGTGAACTATAGGGCAGAAACTGTAATTCCAAAAGATCTGAGATAGGAACAAGCTTGACATTTTTGAAGGCACAAAAAGAAAGTCTAACAAGGCTATAGCTAGAGTACTATGAAAGAAGAGAGCAGAAAGCCAATAGATCTTCATTAAGAAGTTTGGATTTTACTCTCAGCACACTGGAAAGCAATACACGTTCTAAGCAGAGGAATGACATCATCCAATTTACTCAAAATTATTTTAGCTGCTACATGAAGAATGGATTCCATAGGGTTAAACATGGAATTTAGGAGCTGGTGCCATACCAAAGATTTCCAGCAACACTTGCCTCTGCTTTCTGTAAACTTGCTGATAAAAATAAATCTTCCCTTTACCAGCTACTGGTCTTAAGGAAAAAAATACTTTCAATATGCTAAGTGATAGTCAGGCTCTAAGAGTCCATGTGAGTTGGTGTTTCATTTCCTTTGCTCATCATGGAAATCAGAAACCCAGTTTATCAAAACCCATATCCATAAATGTGATTTCTTACTTCAAAGATATCTTCAAAGCCATTAACTCGGTTTAAGAAATAAATAATCCCGAGAAAGTACTTGCAATAACAAACCATTTCAAAATGCCCTACTAGATATAGTACCTGCTCACTACCAGAAAGAAAAATGTTTATAACTTATTCCTCCTCATGTCAAGATCCCATCACAGCAAGGGCCATGATGACAAATGGTTTGTGAAAAACAATTTCCCCTCCCCACACACTGCACTTCCTAAAATTGTAGCTATTAATTTATAATTATATGCTGAGTTCAGCTACCCTCATAGACAGAAGGTCATGATTTTGCACAGTGTCAAAGCTCAAGGATTGGCTGATTCTGGAATTGGCAGAATGTAGCCTATTCTCCCACCTCGAGTATGGAGAGTGTTAGAAGCCAATCTCAATGTCTTTCTGACATATTCCAGGCTTCCCAATTCACACAATGCCTTTGGATCCCCAATGACTAAATTACTATGTGGCCCCAGATAAAAGCTGGGCTCATCACTTCTGCAAAGCCCATCAAATCTTCTCACAAGCACTCAAGAGTTCACCACTATGACTAGACTCTTGAGGCAAACCTTCATTTACCCACTTCAACTTCTTTTTTCAGTGCCAAGAAATCTGGAGCCTATAAGCCCTGATGTTATAGAAAGGGTTCAAAGCAAACAGGTGCTGCTGCTCCTTTTAACATAATCAATCATAGATGCCTAAAATGTGTACCTTATTCATAATGCTGCTTCATTCTTCATTCATATGCAGAGGAAAACAAACTTTCTGTGGAAAGCATCCAAAGATGACTAAATCTTCAAGTGGACAGTAACTTTTCTCAAGAAACAAAAATATAAAGGAAAGTTAGTATCACTCCTAAAGTTTCCTTAAAAATTTTATGAAATGGTAAGTGGTTTTAGTCTATCAGTAACAGTAGTCAAATGGTTCCAGTAATTGTCTTGAGCTAATGCCTATTGCTCAGAGTGATAAAGCAAACAAGAACAATGTGGACAATTAAAATGGGCAGATAAATCCAAACCTCTTTTGTATAATTTCACTAATGCCTCTCAAAAAATTTTATGAATCAGTGAATGGGCTGTAAAGAGATTCATTGGGATTTTCTATTTCCATGCTAAAGAACAAGGAAATGCCAAAAGACAAATGGAAAAGCAAAGTCTGGATACACTTATCTGAACAATCAAACTCTGAACACCCAGTACTGTTGTTAATTTTTAACTTACCCCTGTATGGTTTTAAAAAGGGCTGGTTAGAATTAAGCTAATCAATTTTTTTGTGGGATGCTTTTAGTAAGAGGCTCTCATAAAAGGAATTACAAAGTATATTTAAATTAATATTCCCCAAATACTTTTGTCACATCCATTTACTAAATTCTTTATGTTGTAATGTAACTCTTAGGAACTAAAAAATAGATGGAAATTATTTTTCTCAAGTTAAAAATACTGTATGTGCAGCCTGTGTGGCTCAATAGTTGAGCACTGACCTATGAACCAGGAGGTCATGGTTCAATTCCCAGTCAGGGCACATGCCCGTTGTGGGCTCGATCCCCAGTACGGGGCGTGTGGGAGGCAGCCAGTTGATGATCCTCTCATCATTGATGTTTCAACCACTCTCTCCCTTTCCCTTCCTCTCTGAAATCAACAAAAAATATATATATTAAAAAATAAAACCATATTTTAAAAATGCTATGTGCAGAACTAACAATTAGTCCAATAAAATTTCCCTAACTACATAATTAACTTACTATATCTTTTAAACCACTTAGGAAAAGAACTGTTTTAAGATGTGTATATAATGCAATATGACTAAACATTTACAGTTATTTACTCCATTAAACCCTTATGTTTCACTTAAATCAGAGATGGGGAACATCCGGCCAGGGGGCTGTATAAGGCACTCAAGATCATTTGGTCTGGCCCTGCAAGGCATTAGGGGTGAGTTAAATGCCTGACCAGACATAGCAGGCTAATTTTTAAGTTGGTAAGTCTGTATGGCCCGTGAATGATGTTATAAATATGCAAATGGTCCTTAGCAGAAAAAGGTTCCCCACCCCTGATTAAATCATCACAAACTAAAGCCCTGTCTAAATTTGAACTGTGAACATTAAATCACTACCTGAGCATAGGCAAATACATATTTTGATGTATATAGAACCAAGAAAAAATTATTTCAGATACTATCTTTGATAGCTCTTAGGAAAATCTCACCTAACGGAGGTCAATCAACAATTACATTCAATGCAATGATGAAATGTTGTAGTTGGACATTTTTACTCTATACTTTATTTAACAAGCATTTATTAAATAAGCACCTTGGTTTTGAGAATATCTTCCTTAGGAAAAAATGTATTTAAAGAGATAAATGGGTAGATCCAAACTTTTTAATAGGCAGGCCAGCCTGTAATAACAATTCATTTTCAAAGGGAGCAGGAGCATCAAACAGCCTTTGTGAGAACAGGGGCACAAAGTTAATGGAAACAAAAGACTTCAATAGTAAAATACTTAGAAACTGGGACCAAGCGGGGAAAAGAAGAAGGAATTCAGCTAAGTCCCCACAGGATTAATATAATGCATCAGGAGGATACTGGCTCTCATGCCCATGACTCCCCTGATGGGAACATCCTGAATCAGGCTTGTGTCTTAGGGAAGTCTAGTTGAGTGTAAGGCTGGAGCAAGAGAGCTATTTAGAGAGGTAGAGAGGTAGAGCGGAAGGGGAAAACAAACTATCTTTTCCGGTTTTCTCTCCAACCAATAAAAGACTAGATGATCTTTAAATTCAGGTGAATAAATTTAATATTACTTCAGGAGCTACTGACCCAAAATCCAACTTTTCCCATGTCCACTAATTTCAAAATTAAAAGTTTAAAAAATTAGTTGACCCATGGATATAGACAATAATGTGGTGAAGGCCTGGCATGGAGGGCAGGGTGAGCTAGAAGGGGTCAATGGGGGATATCTGTAATACTTTCAATAATAAAGATTAAAAAAATACCAGTTGAGGTTATTATGTCAGCTATGATGCACTTAAATGCAAGTGAATCAGTTGTCTCAGAAACTGACTACTAGCTAATATCCTTGTAAGCAGAGGTAGCCACCAAGCTGCATACATTTCTGAATTATGCCAAAGAAACTTACCTTCTTCTCCTGATTCCCATTCTCCTCTTTTAAAATGCATGCTTCCTTACAAAGGAGCTTTGTACATAGAGAATTTGTTACTTCAATGCCCACTGTATTCTGTAAAATCATACTGTTTTAATATCACACGGTATGTACTGGTAGTAGGGTGAGTTATAATACCTGGCTTAAGAAATTCTCTACAAAGAACGCTCATAGAATTGAAAAGGTTTGTGTGAATCAAACTACTAGTATTTAAATTTGTTTGGTTTACATTTAAAAGAATAAAATTCTTTTTATTTTTCCTCATCAGGCTTTTCAGACATTTTAAATCCTATAGCCAAGCATGAACACGCTAATCTAAATATGGTGAGCCTATCATCTGGCTTTAGAAAATTTGAATCTATTAAGCTTCTAAATTTATGATGAAATACCAAGCCATAAAAATACTTTCCCCAAATTATATATACCCAAAGATTCAAAAGTAACTGATTAAATCTATACATATATGTTTTAAAGAAAAGACTAGAAAACTTGGGAAATACTGTTATGTAATCAACTCTAACTTTAGCTCTTTACAACTGTATTATAACTTTATTTAACTTAGTAAAAGCCAAAATTGGTGGTTTTTAACATGTAGCTGAAGGTCAAAATCAAAGAATACAAAGTACCTAAAAAAAAAGCATTCAACTCAATACTGGTACCTTCAATACTACCAAACTTCTGTGAAAGAAGCCATGTATAAAGAAAGACTAACAGCAACATAAAAAATGAGTTTTAAAAAGTTCATTTACCAAATTTAAAGATCTAGAAAAAAAGTCTGACTATAATACTTGATAACACAGACATCATGTTTAAGTAGAAAACACAAGGATAAAAACAGTAATATCACTAAAAATATTGCACAACTTCAGGTGTTTCCTCCAAATTTGCTTTATGTAATTGGGTGGATATAAATTAATGAACAAAAATTAAGCAAGATACATGTAACAATTTAATAAACCTGACAATCTAATTACTTTCATTTTTTTCTCTCAAATTCATCTTTAAGTCTTTCCATCATGGGGCTCATAAGAAAATTAACCAACATATGGATACTACAGCCAAATGTCAAATCTTTAAAAAGCACTTATGACATAACTAAATTCCTCTATACGCAGTTATGAAGAACCTTCAAGATACTAGCATTTTGTATCTAGAAAAGTGTTAGAGTCAAATATTCAACTCAATATAAAATAATAAGAAACATTTCTGATTTGTTAGGTTGAAACAGCTTCTCCTTTTGCTAATGAATGATTTCTTTAGCTGTAATATCACTGAGCTGAACAAATAAACCACCTCTGAATACATACGGAAAAATAAACACATGCTAAAAATGGATAAAACATTACAACTACTTCTTTACTAGACCATCTCTACCTCTAACACTTCAGAAGCTTAGAGATTCAGTGTTCTTACATTAACTGCAAGATAAAATAAAGGAGAAATTCCTTCTTTTTTGAGATCACAACTATGAAGTCATGTGGTTATACAAATTCTGCATTTGTGTGCAAAACATGAAATACATATATCTTAATTATCCTTGCTTATACTAGACTTGCCAGTCAGCTAGCAGGACTTTCCAAGAAACAGAGACTGAGATGTGTTTTGTATAATTTCAATAACCTCAGCACTACAATAATAAGAGATGCAGTATCCTTTTGCTATGGTTCAAGACAACAGGGAAGGAGGTCACAAGAAAAACTGAGAAACTTTTCTCAGTTTCACCATGGTGCCACTTTCATTTTTACATAAGCATTGTGGCATAATTCAAGCTCAATAAATCAGAAATCTTAATTTTTAAAATTTACCTTGACTTTAATTATCACCATATTAACCAAAATAATTAGATAAAACACATTGGAAAGGGTAATACTAAACTCCTACTAGAGTTGGTTTCTTGACACATTAACTAATGTTTTTTTATAGAAAGGGATAGTGCATCTCAGTTTGCTTACAAGCTAGGAGATCACTTTGAATTCTGCATTTCCTAACTGCAAACAGATATAGCACTTATAACAGGTTATAAATAAACTGGTTTTCAAGCATAGAGCCAGCCCCAACGATAATAATACACTATTTAAAAAGACCTAAGGCAATGAATTCCATTTCCAATGGAAAAAAAGAACTGTGCAAACAAGCTTAAAACTACTTTTTTTGTGCCAGTGTTATAAAATGTAGCTTTTAATAAAACCTTGACCCAAATGCTAGCAACTTCAGAAAAGAATTTGGGTGGGGAAGAAGAAAGTTATTTCATTTAGGAAAAACAACCACTATCTTTTTCCTAATCTTCAACACACACGATTTAAACATATAACAGCTGCTGTATCACTTTACACAATTCCTATGTACTGGAGCAATAACAAGATCTAAATACAATTATATTTTTTTAAACACTGGGTCAAGGCTTTACATAAAAATACCATCCTACTTTTCCCCCTAAGTTTCTAAAATATGACGTACTTTTCCCCAACATCTGCAGCCATTCAGGAATTTTTAGGAAACATTTGTGCATGATCTTAATTCCTAATCCCTGGCTCTTTGGGCTCAGTGACAAAAGATCAAAACCACCAAAAAATGAAGGTTCACTTGAAGTCAGATGAGAGATCCTGGCTCAATTAGTCTCATAGGACGAAAGCAGTGCTGCATCAACTGGCTCCATGCAGGAGGGGCATGTGAAGGATCTCATCAACCAGTCATCTATACAGTCCAGGTGATAGATGTGCATGCACGGCAGAAATCGAATTGGGTCCCCATAAACAAAGTCCATCATACAGATCACACACCTGTTGGGAGTGAGAGAGAAATAATCAGAAAGCATTTTTAGAGAAGTGGTCCGTATAGAATAATCTTTAAAATCCCATTACAAAGACAGTGTTAATCTGAAACAGATAAAAATGGTTTGCCAGTCATCCTACCATCAAAGCAAATTGAAATTTTTTTCCTATAAGTGTTAGACCATCTACAACCTATCATTTCAATCCCCTGGAAATATGCAGACTTTGAGAGCAATCAACAGAACAAAGAGAAATGGACCACATGGGGGTCAAAGCCATTGCTAGAACTGTGCTTGTAAAACAGCTACATGTAGAAGACACTGAAAGGAAAATGTGATGCTTTAGGTAGGAAACCACTGGCTAGATAAACTTTGTTTACACGAACTGAGTTTTTAGTTTAAGTCCAGAAATAAGAGTTTCCATTTTAATAACTATATGTATCCAAAACAGAACCACTAATTTCAGCCTATTTACTAGGCTGCTGTAGGCTGGAATTCTCTTTATCAATCCCAGTTTCAAGTTCACTGCACTTTCCTTCAGGTTCAAAAAGCAACACAATTCTGCAAGTGTTTCAAGTCAGTGTTCTAGACTGACCAGTGTGCTCAGTGGTTAGTATTGACCCATGAACCAAGAGGTCACTTCCTGGTCAGGGCACATGCCTGGGTTGCAGGCTCGATCCACAGCAGCGGGTGTGTAGGAGGCAGCCAACTGGTGTTTCTCTCTCATAGGTGTTTCTCTCTATCCCTCTGCCCTCCTCTCTCTCTAAAGTCAATAAAAACATATTTTAATAAAAAAACAATGTTAAAATTCTGCATCTCTTTCTCCACCAGTCTTTTTTTTTTTTACTTATTAAAAAGGTGTTCTAGATAGGATATGATCCTAAGTGCTAGCACTAAAATTTAAATGGTGCTATGGCTCAAACAGTCAAACATCAACAAAGTAAATTAGATTATGCATGTATTGGCAAGACTACTCTCAACCTAAAAGGAGTATGGCTGTCTTTATTAGAAACTCTCAAATAATAACTCTGAGGACAAAAACTCCCCAGAAGTAAAATTTTATACAATATTCAAATCGGCAGGCTTAATAATATTACTCCACAAATTAAGAAATGGATACAAGATTTTCCTCATATCACTAAAAACCGTTAGTAAACAATTTTACTTTCAGTCTGATAGCTTTTATTTATATATTAGAGGCCTGGTGCACGAAATTCATGCATGGGGAGAGGGGGGATGGTCACCTCAGGCCAGCCTGCACCCTCTCCAATCCAGGACCCCTCAGGGGATGTCCGACTGCTGGTTTAGGCCCGATCCTGGGGACATCCCTCTCTCAATCCTGGACCACTGGCTCCTAACCGCTCACCTGCCTGCCTGCCTGATCACCCCTAACTGCCTCTGCCTGCCGGCCTGATTGCCCCAATTGCCCCAAAAAAACAGCCCCCGCCGGCCTGGTCGCCCCACGCAGCCTGCTGTTCGGTCATTTGGTTGCCCCTCACTAACCCCCCTGCCAGCCGGGTCGCCCCACACAGCCTGCTGCTTGGTGGTTTGGTTGCCCCTCACTAACCCCCTGCCAGCCTGGTCACCCGACGCAGCCTGTTTGGTTGCGATGGTCGCTTAGGCTTTTATATAGATAGATATACAAAATTCTAAGAATAAGCCAGTTGATTATGGCTATATAACTTATCAATGTATTCAAATCAAAGTATTCCTATACCACAATTTACTTAACTATACCTCTACTATTGTTTTTAACTGAATAAAACTATGGTGAATATTTTTATGCATAAGGCTATAGGAGAGTGAAGTAACATTTTGGGATAGATCTCTAGAATTAACTGTCTCAAAGGGTACAGACTTGAAGGTCCTTGACACATTGCCAAATTGCTTTCCCAGCTGACAAGGCAATGTTGGTGCTAGTTTATACTCACACAGATGAATCATTTTTTTAAAAATATATTTTATTGATTTTTTGAGGAAGGGAGAGGGATAGAGAGTTAGAAACATCAATGAGAGAGAAACATCGATCAGCTGCCTCCTGCACACTCCCTACTGATGTGCCTGCAACCAAGGTACAAGCCCTTGACCGGAATCGAACCTGGGACCCTTGAGTCCGCAGGCTGACGCTCTATCTACTGAGCCAAACTGGTTAGAGCTAGATGAATCATTTTTTAACTGACATCAACTTTCATCCAAATGGACACAAGCAACATATAAAATGGTCAGAATTCAAATCCTTCTTAAATTACTTTATCTAAACATTATCTTGCATTAACTGTTTATATTAACTGACTTCCAAAATGCAGGAGAATATTTTTCAAAAGAAAATCTCTTAAAATAGACCTTTAAAACATGTATAAATTTATTGAAACTTACTCCCGGATCTTTTTTTCTGATCCATCTCTTCCAGGGTCATAAACTCCTTTAGGCAGATGTTGTATAAGGCCTATTCTTTGAGCTATCCTAATTTGTTCCTCTTCAGTCAGCTGAGTTGCTAGGCGAGTCTGGCTAGGTGTTGGATGATAGACCGGAACTGGAACTTGTTCCTGAATTTTAAGAAATGGAGAAAAGGATTAGTTTTTAAAAATCTGTTTTCTGGTTTATATTTTCCTTTTGTTTCTTCTTTTTTTGGTTGGAAGGGGAAAGGGGAGTTTGGGGAGAGGTAGACTGAGCTAGTGTACAGTAATATAAGATTCTGTTTTAGCCAGCTTTAATTTTAGCATATCTGACCTACTTTGAAGGATGTACAGTAAACACAATCTTCCCTGAAAAAAAAAAAAGCATGATATATGAAGTATTCTCCATGAAGACCATAAAACCCAGATATATTCACTCCTGATACACAAATAGGTAATCAATATAATTAATTAATCTAATGAAATGTATGCAATATTCTGTAGGACACAATGGAGTTTTGTGGCCTCAGTATACCATTATTTATATTAGAACTGGCCATGATAGACTCTTATTTGAAAACTTATTTTTTTCTTTCCACATAGACAGCAACCTTAAAATTAATTTATTTACTTGAAAAGACTGCATATTTTTGCAATAAATTTTTGTAAAATTCCTTTTAGGTTTCTGGATACATATTTGGATATGATAATTGAGCGAGTCAATATGAGGCCACCTTTCCGCCCAAATGGAATAAAGAGCTCTTAGGGATATATATTAAATAGCCAAATATCTACTTATAACATTCACTTACTTGCATATATTACCATAAAAATATACTAATTTAGACATATTGCCATATTGCTTTTTTCTACTTACATTTATAAAGTAATTTTACTCATACTCTTCATACATTCTTTCGACAGATATTCACTGAGTACTCTTAAGTGTCAGGTGATGGGGAGTTGAGAATAAACAAAATAAAAGTTCCTAGAGTGGCCGAAACCGGTTTGGCTCAGTGGATAGAGCGTCAGCCTGCGGACTGAGAGGTCCCGGGTTCGATTCTGCTCAAGGGCATGTACCTGGGTTGCGGGCACATCCCCGGTGGGGGATGTGCAAGAGGCAGCTGATCGATGTTTCTCTCTCATCGATGTTTCTAACTCTCTCTATCTCTCTCCCTTCCTCTCTGTGAAAAATCAATAAAATATATTTAAAAAAAAAAAAAGTTCCTAGAGTGATGGAGGATGCTAGTTTAGATAGTATGCTCAGGGAAAACCTCTCTGATGAGACATCTGAGAAGGTGCCTCAATGAAGTATAAGTTAGATACTAATAATTGTAAGACCTAATAATTTCCTTGTGGCTAGAACTATTTGAGCCACCTAATACGTTTTCCAGAGAACATCTCTACTGAATAAACTGGCGGAGACATAACACTTTGAATCCATGTATGAAAGTTTCATAGGAAATATAATGTCAAATCATAACTACTTACATTAGAAAATAATTATTGAGTTTCCTATTAAAGACATTTTATTTATTTATTTATTTTAAATATATTTTATTGATTTTTTACAGAGAGGAAGGGAGAGAGATAGAGTCAGAAACATCGATGAGAGAGAAACATCGATCAGCCGCCTCCTGCACATCTCCTACTGGGGATGTGCCCGCAACCCAGGTACATGCCCTTGACCGGAATCGAACCTAGGACCTTCCAGTCCACAGGCCGACGCTCTATCCACTGAGCCAAACCGGTTTCGGCCTATTAAAGACATTTTAACATAAGACTTGAAATATTCCTTTTCTCTGAGATTCAGAACAAATGTATAATTAAAGAGCTCAAACCCAGTAAATCCTTTATCAAATAATTAAGAGTATATTCTCTGGCATAAGCAAAATGCCAGCAATTCAAAGTTTAATGTTCTATAAATTTCCATATAAATTAATTAATAGTTACTTTAACTACTTTCATACTTCTATCTAATCATTTAGGAAATAATAAGCATGTGAATGCTTATCAAAACTATTTTTTTCATCTAAATACTTAGTTCATGCATATTACATGCAAAGAAGATACCATATGATTAAGTATGTCTCTTGAATCCTGAAACCTTGGGCTTAAGATATTTCTCTGCCACTTAACAGAGCTACCATGTTTAAGCTATTTAACTTATCTGGATTAGATCCTACCTTACTTATAGTGTTGTTATAAGGCTTAAATGAGGAAGCTGGTGAATTGCAAGAACTCAGTAAATGGCAATTATTATATAATCATTAATATTGCTTTCAAAGAGCTATAACTATTATTGCAGCCAAACTAGCAAGCTTTTCCATCTTACTACCTTTACTCCTGATATTTTTTAAATCTTTCCCTACAGGTACATTGGTCTAAATTCTACCCTATGAAGTAGGTTGTTGACATGAATGAAACATTCTCAGATCCTCTTCCCTGACATCCAATATTGACAGACTCTGCTTCTAGTCTCAGCTTAATTACATAGGTGTTGTCTACCTATAAGAGAATTAGGAAGATTATACAGAATACAGGAAACTTCAGTTACATGTGCAGTCATCAAGTGAGGAGAGTGTCAATTGGTCTCCCACACACCTTTTATTGAATTTATTGGGGTGACCCTGGTTAACAAAAGTCTATACGCTTCAGGTGCATGATTTTACAATACATCATCTGTACTGTGTGCTCACCACCTCCAGCAAGTCTCTATCCATCACCATTTATCTCCTATCCCCTCTTCCACTTCCTTCCACCCACCCTGTTCTAGCTTTCACAGAGGAATATAAGTACCAAACTAACTGTATTTCTCTGGTTGAGCTTGAAAGCTTTCTTTTAGCCGTGTATATCTATAACACTATGTCTACAGGCAGTATTTTGCTTTATAAACAACTAGAGGCCCGGTGCACAAAAATCTGTGCACTGGGGGGGGGGGGGGGGTCCCTCAGACCGGCCTCTGCCCTCTCGCAGTCTGGGACCCCTCGGGAGATAACGACCTGCTGGCTTAGGCCTGCTCCCGGGTGGCAGAGGGCAGGCCCAATCCCTAGGTGCAGCCCCTGGTCGGGCTCAGAGCAGGGCAGATTGGGGAGTTGGGGCGCTGCCCCCTGTCATGCACAGAGCAGGGCGGATCAGGAGGTTGCGATGCCACCCTCAGTCACGCTCAGGGTAGGGCTGATTGGGGGGTTGGG